TCCTTAGTGTAAATTAAAGACAAAAAATGTCCTCAGTGTAAATAAAGGACAAAAAATGTCCTCAGTGTAAATAAAAGACAAGAGATTGTCCTCAGTGTAAATAAAAGACAAAGAGTTGTCCTCAGTGTAAATTAAAGACAAAGAGTTAATAGGGGAAGAGTGGATGTGTGTGTGTGTGAATATGATTAAAAATCTTATTATGTAACTTGACATGTCACTTTTTGAAATAAAAAAAAAAGAATTAATTTGTCCTTATTGTAAATTAAAGACAAAGAGTTAAGTTGTCCTCAGTGTAAATTAAAGACAAAAAGTTGTCCTCAGTGTAAATTAAAGACAAAAAGTTGTCCACAGTGTAAATTAAAGACAAAGAGTTAAGTTGTCCTCAGTGTAAATTAAAGACAAAGAGTTGTCCTCAGTGTAAATAAAAGACAAAGAGTTAGGTTGTCCTCAGTGTAAATTAAAGACAAAGAGTTGTCCTCAGTGTAAATAAAAGGCAAAGAGTTAAGTTGTCCTCAGTGTAAATTAAAGACAAAGAGTTGTCCTCAGTGTAAATTAAAGACAAAAAGTTGTCCACAGTGTAAATAAAAGGCAAAGAGTTAAGTTGTCCTCAGTGTAAATTAAAGACAAAATGTTGTCCTCAGTGTAAATTAAAGACAAAGAGTTGTGCTCAGTGAAAATAAAAGGCAAAGAGTTAAGTTGTCCTCAGTGTAAATTAAAGACAAAGAGTTAATTTGTCCTCAGTGTAAATAAAAGACAAAGAGTTGTGCTCAGTGTAAATTGAAGACAAAGAGTTTATTTGTCCTTAGTGTAAATTAAAGACAAAGAGTTGCCCTCAGTGTAAATTAAAGACAAAAAGTTGTCCTCAATTTAAATCAACGTTGGAGAGTTGCAATAGTGTAAAGGGAAGACAGAGAGTTGTTCTTAATATTGTGAAATGACAAAGAGTTGCTTCAGTCAAAGTAAAGACAGAGAGTTGTATTCATTTAAAGTAAGACAGGGCGTTGTGTCAGTTACATATATTTGCAAGTTGCAACTATTATCCGTTTATTAAAAAGGAATGACATTTCTTCTTTATAAATTAAAGCTATAAATTAGTTGCCCTCAGTGTAAATTAAAGACAAAAAGTTGTCCTCAATTTAAATCAACGTTGGAGAGTTGCAATAGTGTAATGGTTAAGACAGAGAGTTTTTGTGCCCATTAAAGATTTGAAATGACTCTTTTGTTTTATGTGACTGTCACATACAGAGATTTGATTTTTTTTTAGCAGAAATGAGTGTTGTGTGACTTAAAAAATCATTCTAAAGAAGTGTCACAACAATATTGTCCATTTATTAAAAAGGTTTTGACATTTCTTCTCCCTATAACATGTATCATGTTTTGCGCCACATAATTTTTTTGGAAAAAGTCACATAAATTTGTCAGTCACATAACCTGCATTTCGTGGGTCTGTCCGTCTGTCTGTCTAGCTGTCCGTCTGTCTGTAAACTTTTCACATTTTCGACTTCTTCTCAAGAACCTCTGGGCCAATTTTAACCAAACTTGCCACAAAGTATCCTTGGGTGAAGGAGATTCAAGTTCGTTCAAATGAAGGGCCACGCCCTCAATCAAGGGGAGATAATTGGGAATTAATGAAAATTTGGTGGCAAATTTTAAAAATCTTCTTCTCAAGGACCACTGTGCCAGGAAAGATGAAACTTATGGGGAATGATCCTCAGGTAGTGTAGATTCAAATTTGTTCAAATCATTACCCCTGGGGGTAGGGCGGGGCCAAAATGGCCGACCTAAGATTTACATAGAAATATATAGGAAAATTCTTTAAAAATCTTCTTCTCAAGAATGACAAAGCCATAATTCATCATATATATATATGGAAGCATGCTCAGGTAGTGTAGTTTCAAGTTTGTTCAAATCATGACCCCCGGGGTAGGGCGGGGCCAAAATGGCCGACCAAAGTTTTACATAGAAATATATAGGAAAATTCTTTAAAAAAATCTTCTTCTTAAGAATGACAAAGCCATAATTCATCATATTTATATGGAAGCATGCTCAAGTAGTGTAGATTTAAATTTGTTCAAATCATGACCCCCAGGGGTAGGGCGGGGCCAAAATGGCCGACCAAAGTTTTTAAAGATATATATAGGAAAATTCTTTAAAAATCATTTTCTAAAAAATAGCAAATCCATGATTGGTCATGGGACTACTTTTGGATTTAAACTTTTCAATAAAAAGCCATTTTATACTTTTTCCTACCCTTAGTGCTCAGGTGAGCGATGTTGCCCATGGGTCTCTTGTAAAGTATGTTTTTTAATTTGAGGTCCAAAATACCCAGGTATACTGTTACCTTACTGGCGATAGGAATGGCCATGGAACAACAGAATGCTTGTAATTTTGACAAAATGTGTATATTAAAGAACTATATGCGGTATATTGTATATATTTGCCCCCACAAAAGTCAAATTTTGAAAACTTCCTGAAATGTGCTGAATTCAATAAATTGTATGAGAAATATAAATTAACAGAAAATATTATAGTGTCAAAGCAGTGTATTCACAATTTTTGTTTTTATGACGTCACAAACTAGTGATTTTATATCCTTTTTCAGAAAGAGGACAAAATGGACAAGATTTCAACAATTTTAGCTTTAAAATTTATAGAGCGCAAGTTTGTTCAGGAACAATATTGACATTTTTAATTGATATTATCATTCTACACATCATATCAAAATATTGATCCTGAACACACATGCGCTCGATGACTTTTACTCTAAATATTGACGAAATATGTACATTTTTCTGTAAAATTCATGAAAAACTGAAATTTACGTCATGTTTGTGACGTCATTACGTACATATGGCGTCATTTCTTTTGAAAATATTCAGTGCTTTGAAGTCAGCATATACCCCCTGTTTAAGAACTTAATTAAATATATCTCCATCAAAGTTTGATTTGGGGGGCAAATATTGGTTATTACCGAATAAAGTTCTTTGTATACATGAACACTGAATGAAGTTCATTGTTTAATACAGGGGGTTGTATGCACATGACTTGTACTGTGTGTAAAACGGACTGGTGCTGGATGTGTGAAAAGGAATGGAACAGGGATTGCCAGGGCAACCATTGGTTTGGATAAAACAATATATGATTGTGTAATTTCCTGCTAGTCAGGAAAATAAAAATAATGATGACTGCAATGACATTAAGGACAATTCAGAAAAAAACTGTGATTTTAATATTGTCCATATATAAAAAAGCTTGACATACTTGATGTGCATGTGATTTTGTACTGCTAATCAAATATGAATTTGTTAAAAGGTGACAGGAACCTTGCTTATTTTTAATTGCATATTACAAAGTGAAGTGTTCATTGTTTGTTACAGAGGTACCAAAATATAATATAAATGCATTTACTGTTAAAAGATTAAAATGGTCACACATCCAAAGAGCATAGCTAGGTTCCAGACAACATTAAGCAATGTAAGATAATGCTCTGCATGATATGGAGCTTATGAATGAGGGATGAATATGATTCAAACAAAAAAATGGATGTATTAGTTTCTTTATATTTTTTGTCCCAATTTGTTGTTATGACTAATTTTTAGCTCAACAGCTTTTCTGATCACATTTTGTCCGTCCGACCGTCTGTAATTTTTTTACACTTCTTCTCAAGAACCGTTTGGCCAATTTTAATCAAAATTTTAAACTATGGCAAAATTAACAACCTTTTAGTAAAAGTTTGTTAATTTTACTTATGTAAAGATGACAAGTTGTTATTCTCAAGATTTTTATTAAACTCTGTTAATATCATCTCTCATTTAGGTCTTAGTTCTTTAGGGCATGATCATGATAAAATTAAGCTAACTTTCACGTGAAAAAAGTTAATATGAATATTTTTGTTAACTGGCAGCTTGAATTAAAGCAAATACTATTAGTTCAACAAGTCTGTTAACAAATAGAGTGGAAGCATTGGCACCTGACGTTACTTATAAATTATTTTTCTTGAAAATAAAAAAACAATATACCCCAAACTAATAATAAACGTTTATTATTAGGTAGGGGTATTTTTTTAGTACAAGAAAAACAAGTAACGTCAGATGCTTGTGAGTGGAAGTCTTATAATCTCACCACGGAGGGGTCAGGTGTGGATATAACGCTCAACACAAGGTAGAACAAAGATTGTTCTTGCCGGATAAGTTTCATATTCCGATCATCGATACAAAAGAACATACTTCATTTATTATGCAATGATATTAAAAATGAGAAGTTAATTGGTATAAATTATCCATTTTATTTCATTATTTATTTTAAACATGTTAAAAGTACACAGATCTGAATCTCCTAGAAACCTAGATTGTTCCGCAGGCATTGTCTGTCATCACAACAATATACCTCCCTCGTGTTATTAAGCGCAGCCTTCGTAAACAAACAGTCTTCAATCTACAATACAATTAGAAAACAGAACAACTACTTATAATGTGTTATGAAACCAAGAAAGAATATTATTAATAATGAGGTGTGACTACCCATCTTCGAACTAAACAGTATTTATTGAATGATATTTTTCAGATCGCACTTATAACATATATATGATGCATGAATTACAATGTACCTCTGAAGTCATTTAATGTTATTTAGATCCTTAATATTTATATTTTATTTTATAAAGACACCTGATATTTGTATTTCACGAAGACGGACTCTGATTCTACTATACATTCTCCAATTCCTTTCACGGGATACACATGATGTACATGTATGTTTTATATACATGTATGTTATATACAATGTATGTCCTTAATACTTTTTGATTATCTCAACCATTCACCTCTCACCTTAGAGCAGTGTACGGTAAAATTGTATCTGGGATAGCTTCTAATCATACACGTTTCTGTGACGTCGCAGGTAGAGTTCCGGGGCCTACAGTTGAGATTTTGATCACAGTAGGGGCACATTATTCCTGAAACAAATGATATTAATCTTATGGCAAGCATTTCTGCCAGCTATTTCCACCTGAAGTAAAATAAAAAAAGTTATTAATTTTCTTTCCGGTGAAATATGTCTCACCTAGAAAAAAATGAAATAAAATTTGTACAAAATACTTTGATTTTATCTGAAATGTGTATATCAAAGATACAGAGGAATTTAACTGTGTGTAAAAGATACAATTTGTCTGTATCAAATAGAAAAGTTTAATACACAACTATGAATCCTTATATTCTCATTTCATAACAGGACATAATTACGAGGGCTGTTCAATAAATAACGTCATGAGGTCTATGGCATACAACATAGAAATCATATGACATTAAGCTTGACTTTCACTCATGATTGCATATTAATGCATTGATTACAGTTTATATGACCACTATGATCACAAAGTTTCATTGTGAGAAGCTGGAAAACAAGGGCTATTCGAGACACTGCATTAAAATGAATGGTCAAGGATCAGTAAACAGTAGTAAAATTAAATGCTTCATGAAAGCTTGAGCAAAAACTCGTTAAGAATCCCCACGAAATATTCTAAATTTACCAAAAAAAAAAAAAAATTCGGTTTTATAGACACATGAGTAGTTTGATTTCAATGAACAAAATTTTATAATGGGCATAAAAAGTGGTTACCGTCCTTGGCAAGACAGACTTACAACAACCAACGTTCCGTTTGTCAGAATTCAACAAATTATCATGCACTGATGTTTGATTGACTTTAAGACACATAGCAAAATTGACAGGCAACAATTTGGGGGTGGTTTACATTGTTTTAAAGAAATATTTGATAATAAAAAAAGCTTAAACTCAATGGTCAATCTATGTTTTGAAAAATGGGTGAAAACGACAGCTTGTAATAGTATCTAAGCAATTATTTAAAAAAAATAATACATTGAAGGTATCCACATTTAATTGTCCGAAATTTAAACAGTAAAATTTGAATCCGTGCTTTAAACCCTCAAAATAAATTTACAATAAGATACACTTGACAAAAACAGCCAAGATCTGAGAAGAGCCAAGAATTTCAGAGGCACAATACAGTTTTATATGCCATTTTCTTAGTCTTTTTAAAATTCTTATATGGGGAGGCATTTCAATTTCTAGAGAAGTTTTAAAAGCTCATTTTTGCAAACAAATCGTAAGGTATATGAGAAGATGGAACCAGAATCAGGAATTCACCACATTAAAATTCTTCATGACAGCGTCCGAACCTACACGACAAGAAGAATAAAGTGGTTTTGGGATAAACAGAAAGTTAATGTTTTTATCAACAATATTTGAATAAACTTTCATCCTTTGACTTGTTTCATTTTCCAAACTTAAAAAAAACACCTTTCAGAAAGAATAAACAAGTCACAGAAATCATAGGATCTGCTATATTCAAGTATAGTGTCAGTATACGAAGGTCTTTACTCAAAAATATGTTTTAAAAACTATCAGAAATTAGATAAAAATGTTACAGACATGTGTTTTAATTAAAGGAGAATATTTAAGTGAAATCAGTAAGTCTAAATCTTTGAAAAGCCTTTCTTGTTTCTTTCTAAGCACCGAGGACATTATTTATTGAAAGCCTTCGTATCCTATACGGATGTTATATGTTAGACATATGATAACGCACCTGTTGGGGTCGTTGTGACATTGCACTACCCCAACTCAATTGACTCCCCCTCGCAGTCTTTCCCTCCCTTGGCTGGGACGGGCTTATCACATTTGCGTTTCCTGTTCCTAAAGTTCACATCACTGCATGTCCTACAAGAAGACCACGGTCCCCAGGAACCCCAGCCACCATCAATAACTGTATGTGTACAAAGTACTGATCAATCTATAGCCTCATTAAAGACGTGCCAATAAACAATCCCAACCACCATCAATAACTGTATGTGTACAAAGTACTGATCAATCTATAGACTCATTAAAGACGGATCAATAAACAACACTTAAAGCAAAAGTATCATTAAAGAAGGCATTCTAAAATGATTGAAAGTTTTAGTCCCTATTAAGATTTTGACGCTTTTCACCTACAAATGTTTATGCTTCATAAACCTATTCACTAGTTAAAGGAAGGTTTTACTGAAGTTTAGCTACATGTATTTTTTATTAGTTACAAATTACAATTGGTTTACTACAGCTGAAATAATGTACGCTCTCAAATGTTTTTGACCCCCCTCTCAAAAATGTAGAGGGCTACATTTATGCACCTAAAATTACTCATGTATGCCAAATACTTAATTTTACGAAAATACAAATTCCCATCAATATGACGAAATAAAGCGCATTAAATTCTACTTAAGGTGCTTACCAATATACCACAGGTTTTTGAACAGATAATTAGACCTTGTCGGTTATCCGAGGCGCAGATATTGGTATTGTTAGCAAATACTGGACAGCCCGGATCTAGGTCTTCACAAACGATTGAAAAGATAACATGGGTGTTGCACAGTCTTTTTTGGAACTCTTTTTTTTTTAAAGATACGATGCATAGCTATCAAGGGCTGCACGTGACAGAGACTGGGTATAAAACTACTTAATCATTTTCCTTGAATGCCTTCGTTGAAGTCTTAAGATAAGTACATATATTAGAAATTTCAAATCCCAATAGTTAGTGAAAATTAAACATAAGGCTATTAAAAGTTCTATGACAACATAACTATATAGATTTTTGAGATAATGGAAACTAACCTGGACAGTCTGACTTATTGCAGGGTTGTGTATCTGTATCTACACCAGTACAGTTCAAACCACCATACATGGGGACAGGTTGCGTGCAGGCACGTGTTCGATTGTTTACTCCTGTACCACACGTGACACTACAGGGCGACCACCCCGTCCACACGCTCCAGCCCCCGTCAACTGTAACCATGACGTACATAAAACTCGACAAGCACATTTGATTGAACAAATTATAGAAAAAAAAAAAAAATTGTTTCGAAAAAAAACCCCACATGCTCATATATGGCAGCCCATGGATAAGGTTTATAGTTTTCAAAAGAATACCAATCTCCAAGGTCAACGTCAGGAAATTAAAACAATATACCCATGGGCCACATCGGTCACCTGAGCACTGTAGCTAGGAAAAGAGCAGGAAGCAGTTTATTGAAAAGTTTAAAAACAAATCTAGTCCCAACCAATCCTTAAAGGGGAGAGGGTATGATTTGAACAAACTCAAATATACACTAACTAAGGATGCTAGCATATTTCTTTGACTACTTGTGGCTTTATTCAACTCTACTTGAGCATGCTTCCATAAACATATGACTAATCGTGGCATTGCTATTCTTGAGAAGAATTTAAAAGAATTTTATATATTTCTATGTAAAAATTTGATTGGCTATTGCTTTCATATGAAAATGACTAATCATGGCATTGCTATTCCTGAGAAGATTTTTAAAGAATTTTTCTATATATTTCTATGTAAAAATTTGATTGGCTATTGTGGCCCCGCCCTTACCCTTGGGGTCAAAGTTGAATCTACTCTACCTGGGGATGCTGTCATATAAAAATTACTAATTATTGCTTTGCTGTTCTTGAATAGAAGATTTTTAAAGAATTTTCCTATATATTTCTATGTTAAACTGTGATCAGCCATTGTGGTCCCGCCCTTCCCACGGGGGTAATGGTTTGAACAATGATTTGAATCTACACACCTGGGATGCTTCCATATATATATGACTAATCATTGTTTTGCTTTTCTTATGAAAGAATGTGAATGGATACATCTAACAAAAATTGGACATGAAGGACTGAAGGTAAAAATTAAGCTTTTTACATGTTACAAAGCAACATAGCTATAGTGATAAGCGAAACTAACTTGGGCAGTCTGACTTATTGCAGGGTTGTGTGTCTGTATTTGCTCCAGTACAGTTCAAACCACCATACATGGGGACAGGTTGCGTGCAGGCACGTGTTCGATTGTTTACTCCTGTACCACATGTGACACTACAGGGCGACCATCCCGTCCAGTCGGTCCATCCCCCGTCAACTGTAACCATGACGTACATTAAACTGGATAAGGATACTTGATTCAACAGGATATAAAAAATCGTGTTTGTAAAAAAAATACCGCACTTGTATGTCAGTCCATGGTTAAGATTAATGATTTTCAAAAGAATGTCAATCTCCAAGGTCAACGCCAGAAAAAAAAACAAATATTGGTACCCAAAGATATTTCATGTCACAATAAATATATATTTATTTGAAATATGAAAGTTCTAACCCCAGTTGTTTAAAAGCAATGGTCAGCATTTGACAAAACTAGGCTAAACTCCAAGGTCATTTGATTAAAAAATATGTGGTACCAGGAGAAAAGTCTCACTAGAAAAAACACATGTGAAGTTTGAATGATTCAGCACCAACCTTTTAAACATGTTATTGTAAATGTTGAAGTTGAAATACATGAGACAAACTCTCAGGTTAAGATACGAGGGACGTTCAATAAATAATGTCATTAGCTCGATGACATACAACATAGAAATGATATGACATTCAGCTTGACTTTCTTTCATTTTTGAATTTTTAATGAATATATAACAGTTTATGTGACCACTTTTCATCGCATTATTTCATTGTGGGAAGCTGGAAAACAAGGGCTATTCCAGACACTGCATTAAAAATGAAAGTCAAGAATCAGTAAACTAGAGTAAAATTAAACGCTTCATTAAAGCAGCTGTGAAACTTGTTAATATCCCAAAAATATATTAACTGAGAATGGGAAATTTACAGCAACCAATGGCTGTTTTATAGACACGTGAACAAGAAGGTTTTAATAAACAAAATTATACAATGGGCATCAAATATGGGTACCGTCCTTGGCAACAATGACATACAACAACTAATGTAGATTTGCAAAAATTCAACAAATTATCATTGATAATGTTTTATTGACTTTAAGACGCATAGCAAAGATGATTAAAATAATTTTGAGGGTAGTTCACACTATTTTAAAGAAACATTTGATACTAAGAAAGTTTAATGCCCAAAGGTCACCCTATATTTTGAAAATGAGTGAAAACGACAGCGTGTAGGGATAGCTAAACAATTATTTTAAAAAAATCAAAAACTGTTCTTATCCACGTTTGTCTGAAATTCAAACAGATATAAAACTTGAATCCATTTTGCTTTAAACTCTCAAAACAAATTTACAAGAAGATGCACATGACAAAACTGCAAAGGCCTAAGAGGAGCAAGGAATTGGAAGAGCACAAAACAGTTTTATATGCTATTTTCTTAAATATTAGCGGTCTTGTTGTTCAAATTCATATTCGGAGAGGAAGTTTAATTTCTGGAGGAGTCAAGAAAACATTTTTTTTGCAAAAATATTGAAAGGTTAATGAGAGGAAAGAAACAGAATGAAGAATTCAGTACATTAAATTTCTTAATGACAGCGTCCAAACCCACAGGCCATGAAGAGTAAAGGAGTTTTGGGGAAAAACAGAAAGTTAATGTTTTGTCACACCAAAAAAATTTGCCAGATCTTTCAAACTTTGACTTGTTTCATTTCCCAAACTAAGAAAAACATATAATTATATACTCAAAAATGTGTTCTAAAACAATTAGATATTGAATGAAAATTTTATGGACATGTGTTTTAATTAAAAGAGAATATTTTAGTTAAATCATTAGGACTTAATCATAGAAAAGCGTTTTTTGTTTCTTTACGAGCCCCAGTGACATTATTTTTTGAACGCCCCTCGTAGTTCCAAAATGCCTTATATGATCCAAAGAAAGGTCTTTCCTCTAAAACTCTTGCACAAACCGTTCAAAAGTTATGGCCGAGGTAAAAAGTTTTACGGATAGACACACAGCTACACAAAATTATTAGCACCCGAATCTACGTTTACGATGGCAAAAATGCGTTTTGCAACCCGTATACTGTGTTTTAAACATATGGCAGATACATACTTTATTATTTTTCTTTTTATATACATGTATTTATTATGTACATGTATTGTAATTGTCATTATATCTAATTTGATTTGAAATGTGTATATTTGAATAAGAATTATTCAGTCTAAAGCCCTTTAGTGTGCATTCACCCATGGTCTGTCACTGTTTGTCAGTGTATATAGGTAATAATGGCCGAAGGTCATTACATGTAACTATATCCAGGCCTAATGTTGGATGTTTCTTTAAATTTTATTCGTGTTTTACTTTGTGTTTTACTTGGGGATTGGTTCATGTTTTTCCCTCCAGAAGGCTCTTCGTTTTCTGGACATGATTTGTCCAGAGGTTAGTCAGTTAAGGTGCATTTTCAGTGTTGTGACATTTTGACAATCAGACCTGATATTAGAGACTAACTTTCTTCTCAATCTGGTAAGTTAATAATTTATTACTAATATAAATATGATTCTTATAATTCAATTAAATGTTCAATCAGTAATTTTGCAGTCTTGATCTATTTCCTAAGTACTTTCCCTGAGTAAATGAGATCAGTGAAAATGATATTTTTAAAGTATGAGTAAATAGAAAGATCTCATTGTTATACATTTTTAAGGTAACATATTTTTATGATCTGTTGTGTAATATTGTGTGTAATTAATTTACAGACCACTCAGACTGTATGAGTTGTAAATCTGCAGCATTGCTGCTTGCTGTACACACATATTCCCATAGAATGGTATGCACATTATTTAATGATTATTCAGTAATATAATTTTAAAATACATTGTGATGATAATTATTGTAAAGTTTTATGATGAGAATTTATTGTTATATAATTAAAGAATAGAAATATATGTGTATATTCTATATGTTATGAATTATCTCCCTTGACAATCACTGTATTTTTATGCTTAAATATTTACACATGTTATACTGTTAATTTTGCAGGGTAATTTCCATTTTTTCATCTTATCTGGTAAATAAGGTCTTGTCAAAGAACCCTGAAAAGGTCGTTAGTCTTCATTTGATAACCACCAAGCCTGTTACTAACACATCTAGAACTTACTTTAACATAATGACTTGGAAATTGGTACAGTGCTTGACCCGAATCAGCTCTTTTCTTTCCCGCTCAAACACTCAAAAACACAATCAGCAATCAGTTTTCAATAAGATTTATCGTTTTTCTTTCTTTTTTATATTCAACAAAATTTAAATGAATATTATTTATTTTTTTTATTCGAATTATAAAAATATCTTGATATTCTTTTCTGTAAATATGAAATTTTCCGGGTAAAATCTCAATGTGTTCATCATTATAACAGGTAAACTCATCATCTGAATACAATGCACATAATAAAAGACCTTACCGGGACATTCCATTTCGGTACAACTTTGAATACTATAAGGATCCCCAGAACAGAATTTTCCGTCGTGAGAGGGCGCTGGATTGTCACATTGTCGGTCACGTGTCTGTACTCCCGCTCCACAAGTCAGAGAACACGACGACCAACTCGCCCAGTCTGACCACACTCCGTCAACTGGAAGACAACAAACTGGTTTCCATTTGCAGTTAGTCATCGATATGTTAACATTCTTATTATCAACAATTTTCTCAGGACATATTACTCAAAATATACAGTGTATCACAGTTTCTCAAAAGTATATGGGATATGAGGACTTACAGTACTTATCCAACATTTTTTAACCTAGAAATAAATATTTAAATTTGGTCTCGATCGTACACAGACCTTTGATAAGATTTCTTTTAATGAGGATCTGTCCTATTATGTTATGTTTTACCTCAAAATCCACTAAAACATGTTAAACTGTGTACAAACTGAAACAACTGGAAGTTTGTCAATGAGAGATGATGACAGACAGAAATAAATTGCAATAGTTCATTTTTAGTTCGTAACTCTAAATGAAAAGTATTCAAGTTTCTTTTACTTGTATTTTTCTTAACATTAAGAATACACTACAATAATTTAAAATTAATGCCCGAAGGTCATGTAACCCTCTTAGTTTAACTCTTAATTAAAAAAAAAAACGTACCAGGGCATGGTAGTTGAACACAAATATCCATTATACTAGATGTTCCATTGCAATCTTTCCCTCCATAAGCGGGAAAAGGATTGGAACACTGACGGGAACGAGTTTTAGTGCCGAAGCCACAGGATACACTGCATGCGCTCCATGAAGACCAATCAGTCCAATCACCGTCAACTCCTGTAAAAATACAGTGAAATATAATTAAAAATAAAGATTTTGTTTCGAAAAAAAAGTAAGGAAATCCAAATGAAAAATACTGAAAAAAAGACATAAAACGGAAAAGCAATCAGAACAGTGAACAATAAAGATAGTTATAATATATAGAATTTCTGCCTCATGAAGGAGGAACTTTATGAAATGATACAAATGGAGTTATACTACATGTCCCGCACGTGACTGGACAGAGCTGGAGACCAGAAGGATGAGAGCAGAACATAGTTTTGTACGTCTGGCAGTCAGGGGACGAGTCTTTACAAACATCTAGGAAGAATAGAATTCTTAAATTTATTGAAAGGTAGAACGTATTACTGCGTATTTTAACATCTTTATACAATCGACTAACTATTAATTGCGATAATGAAAACTACCACTTTCCTCTTAAGCAAAAATATATATTAAGATTTTACCAACTATGATTCTGCACTGTTTATATTAATTTCCTTTTTTTCTTATAATTTACTGAACTCTTCCTTCTTCTTCAAAATATTTTAATGTAATGAACACGATCTAAAAGTTTTGCTATGATGTGTTGATCTTACAGGAACACACAGATTGGTTACAGGACCTCATCTCTGTGACGTTTCCATCACATGACCTGCCGCCATATAAAGGAGCCGGTCTGTTACAGGTGCGTGTTCGAGTTTCTTGACCTGATCCACAGGTAACACTACAGGACGACCAGTCCGTCCAAGACGACCAGCCTCCGTCCACTAAAAATCAGTTAATCAATTTCTCAGAATAAAAGCATTTGAGAATTCTTTTTGATTGGCTGAAGAAAATTAATGTCCATGTTACGTGATGTCACTTCTGATGATCCCAAATTAAATACCAAATCCACCTTTCGCTTACTTGTCCTTATTTTTATATTGTTTAAATATGTATATGTAACACTCTATATCAACAGTCCAATCTTTTCATGACCATAAAAATTCTAAATGCTCCATTAAAGGAATTGAAACAAAATACATTACATCACAACCCTAGATTCAGTAGATTGTAATAATTAGGCTACCTTTTTTGAAAGGGAAAAAAACCTTTTAAAATATTCATAAAATATTGATGCCACAATTAGGATATTGACTGTGCGGACTAATTGTAAGATTTCTAGTCAAAAGTCAAGATCATAAATATTATATAATTATATATTTGCATTTTATGATATTTAAAAATGTTACTAGAAATATGCTTGCTTAGGTTATTTAGTAGGATACATAACCAAGGACCGGTTTAGTTCGACAAAGAAAGTAATATAAATCTGTCCGAGAAAAATATCATTTTATATTGGTTTTCTATAAACATACAATGACGGTGAACTAAAGTTCTTTTAACACTTTTATTTATATATTGTATAGTCACACAAATTTATTACCCAAGTCATATTTAGTTATGGAATTACCAGTACATAAAATACAAATTTTGAGATATTTGGTGGAATTAAAATACATCTGTAAGCATTTTATAGTAGTCAACAGAAAAAAAACAACAATAATGATTAAATTTATTTTCATTATTTCAGAATTTTTTTATATATAAACTTGTAAAAAAAAATGTAAAGTAAGAATTTTAAAGCATTCAAATAGATTTTAAAGAGATACAAATTTTTGTAAGTCAAGATTTCTTCTGTGAATTTTTTTTCTTCAAATTTTCTTATTCAAAACCAACCTCTGCATGTGGGCGATAAGCATAGAAAAAAAATGGAATGGTCTCTGATTACACTAGAAACAGTACAACAAGTCATACAGTATATTCCGCACACGGATCAATATCAGAAACGGAATTACATGTATATCATTTGACATATTGTAAGAAAATAAAATCTTATACATGATATTGTGACAATTTAATTGAACATCCAAAAAATGATACAATCTCACTTGATCCCTATCAGATGATGTTCGTAATCTTTACCTTTTACTTTTCTGATGAGGCGATATCACTCAATATTAAAATGAAAAGTAACATGAGGCGATCTCAATATTAAAATGATAAGTAACCTGGACAGGGTGTCTGTGAGCACGATTGTGTTTCGTGTAAGTTGCCGACACAATCTTTTCCGCCGCCAGCAGGCGAGGGATTTGAACAGGACCGAAGTCGGTGTTGTATTCCTCCTCCACAGGATAAAGTGCATGGTGTCCAGTTTCCCCAAACAGACCATGCTCCGTCGACTAAAATGTTAATTGTAAAATAGATAGAGAATAGCCAGGACCGGAGGGCCGAGGGCTGACATTGGTTGTGCATACTAAGTAATAAAATAAAACACACATCAACATGATCAACTAGGGGGGAAACAAACAATTATGCGTTGATTACTACATGTAGATATATAGCTTATTTTATATAATACAGGACTAAATTGCATCCCTGATGTTAACGCAGTCACGTACCCTGTAGTACACATCCATAGCCTGGTTCCCCGACTCATCCTTGCCTTCTACTCTTGGGCTGATATTGGAGTCTCGGGTTGATTTGGGGTGTGATACAGATTTTGCCATGTACATGTATTTTGTTTGTATCAGCTTGGCAAGAATGAACCAGGGGACCAGGCTATGCAGGGCTGATACGGCTATTGTTACGTCAGGCATATCGCATATGTAAAAATCCTATTTATTACTTAGGGTATGTCACTCGTCAGCTTTTTAGAAAAGTTCACACAGAACCTGTAACTTCAAAACTAGTTATTATAATTCAATTTTTATAACATATTCAAATTCAACAATGTATATTATTCAACATTTAATAAAAAAAAAAAACTGCTCAAAAATCCACAGAAAAGCAAGTCTTAGACTTATGAGGGACTATTTCTTGTGGTGGAAGGATATTTAGCAGAAAATTCATGAAATCCGCACATTTCTTAAATTTAATATCTTGGAACTTTAGTCTCACATACTTTTACTCGGAGAATATTTTCCGTTATGATATGCTAGGAATATTTAATATAGGTCTTAATTTAAATTTTAAGAACAAATTTTACACATTCCCTCCACAAACTTTGCCTAGAAATGATGATAAGTTGAAGAAGTAAAGATAAAATATGCACCGATTTTTGTCTGAAAATCAACACCTTTTGACCAATATTTCAAAATTAACATCACTGACCCCAATTTTTTCTTTCATTATTTTTAACTACTCGATACTTGTTACTGATCAGCACTTAAGTCGTAAAAAGTTTGATATAAGAAAAATATTTTATTGCCTATATACATTAGATTTTTAATACCCCAAATAGGTTACTTTTTTAGTGCAAAAAGGTCACACAATAATTTACGCGCATTAATGTCCAAGACCTGTTCATCTTATAAAATTATAAAGGTTAAAGTAATTAACCAAAGAGTTAAATTTTGAGTGCAAAAAGGTCAACTTAATTGTAACGTTCAATAAGACGCACACTGACCCCCTCTTTTCTCTGCGATTTTGAGTCATACTATATGAGTACTTATCCAAAATATACTTCTCAAAATATCCTTGATTTAACAAAATTCACGAGTGACATACCTTAAGATGTAAAAAATAATTAAATTTCTTTTCATTAATATAATTGCTTGTTTTTCTTCTAGACCACATGATAAGCACAAGACAATCAACGTAAAAATGTAGAAAATATTAGAACAAATGATGTATTTGCAACTTAAATTTTGGCTTTTCTAATTTTACACTTGGTATTTCACAGTTCTAATATGAGCTTATCTAACCTCTTTTCTTAGTTATTTTTTTACTTTATCTTAAATGATTACCAACTTTATTTATACCACCTAATATACTGAAACAAATTGTGTCTATTTGTTTTAACCTTAACATTTCCTATGACCTCACATATACTGTATACAGGGTTATTTTCGCCCCGTGTTTTTTTCGCCCTTTCACACTTGAAAACAAATTTGTCCCATTTTAAATTCGCCCAATCACAGTTTTGTTAAAAAAAATCATAATTTTTGGTCGCCCAATCATCGAAAATTTCCCTGTATATAATAACTGTAAAATCTCTTATAATTTTTGGTCCATCATGTATATAACTGTTTGGAACTTCACTATGTCAAACAATTCCACATATGGTTTTTATAATTTGTATAACAGAAGAAGGTGAAATAAATGCTGTTTCAATAAAAAAAAAAAGATATAGAAATTGGAAAAAGGATGGGAAATTCTCAATTTTATGCTATAATTAATAATATTATCATCATGAACATTCATATACTATAATTATTATCATCATGAACATTGATAACATATTCTAAAATTCTATAATATTTATGTTATCACCTGGGCATTGCTCCGTGTTGCAGTCATCTACATCCTGTGCTGATCCGCTACAATTAATTCCGCCATGTGACGGAGATGGATTATTGCACAGACGTGACCTCGTTTTGACCCCTCCCCCGCAGGTTAGAGTGCACACAGCCCAATTGGTCCAAGTTCCCCAAGAACCATCCACCGCTTGAATTAAAACGAATAAGTTAAAGTTTACCGCATTAAAAAATCAATATTGAACTTTTTATATTTCTTCTATAATTTTTTTTCTTACGACAAATTCCGCAGGTCTGTGGACAAACATTTTGGCCGTCCGTGTTATTAGGAGCACAGAAAACGTCCTTCAACGATGCACACTGAGCACTGCTGTCCTTACACGAACCTGTTTACAGGTAGAAAAAGATTAAAAAAAACTTCCAAGCCTGACTCAATTAGACATGCTAAAGTCTCTAGTATTTTTTAAATTTAATGTTTGTCTTGTTGTCCTCTGCTCTCTTTCATAGTTAAATGTTATCAAACATAGATCTATTTTTGACATTATAAAAAGGTATAAAAGAGAGCACTTAACATGCATATAGAGACCTGAGCAAGTCTACGACTGAATTGTTATCTAATTTTATGATACAATGATAGAAATAACAGTATTCTTTGACAACGGTAAAGAGACCCAACATGACATTAAAAGAAAATGTACTGACTCCTTCTCTAGTACTTTGGCATCTAACACCTTATGTACGCTTTTATTTAATCTGTTTATTGGTATCTTGTGCAAAGAAGTACATGATTTACCCTTTCCGAAAATATCAGTTTTAACTTTTTCGAGAATTTGGCAGAAAGATGAAAGAGCAGACAAATTAAGAGTCAAATAAATATCATTTGGAAAATTATTTTGTATAGACTATTTTTACAGGCCAATTCTAATCCTATAAGATAATAAAGCTTATCTATGTTATGACATACGGGCACAAGGTGCTAAGATGCAAGTCTGTGATTCTTTTAGGTCTCCAGTACATGGATTTCCTCCATGTAATGGTGCTGGATGTGTACAAGATCGGACTCGAGATTCTATTCCTACACCACACGTTACACTGCAGGTTGTCCAACTCTCCCAGCTTGTCCATCCACCGTTCACTGAAGTGAGAATAAGTGCTTATTTTGTATTTTTAAATGCACGTTTATTTAACGGCCAAGCAAAACCTGCCCTACCTGGACAAGGAATCTGGGAACAACTTTGAGACTCGTGGTTGCTGCCTGTGCACGTTTTCCCGCCATAGGCTGGTTTGGGTTGATTACAATGTCTGGTCCGTATTTGAGCCCCTGCATCACATGTAGTAGAACATCTACCCCATCCACCCCAGCCTGACCATCCACCATCCACTATTGGATATATGATATTGAAGTATGTTTTTTCTTTCCAAATTACTATTTTGCAGGCATGGACTTTCATTTAGTGAATATCTTGAAAATATAATATACTTGTCATGTTATTGAAGCTTACCTGGACAATGTGTAATTTGGCAGGTCTTAGTTTCTTGACCAGATCCTCCACAAGTTTTTCCTCCTTTGGCAGGGGCTGGGTTCGTACACTGTCTACTATGGGTCTGTGATCCTCTTCCACATGACCTTGAACAGGACGACCAAGAATTCCAAATAGACCATCCCCCGTCAACTAAATGATAACATTAAGTTTTACAATTGTTTCCAAAAATATATTAGAAGACGAAAAGAAAGTCATATTTTTTAGAACTTATGCATTAATTTTTAAGTTAACAAATGAAATGCTGTTTCGAAATTGCTTTGAAAACATATATCTAAATAAGAAATATATTTTACGCAAAAGAAATATCTAATGAATATTTAAAGTACACTATATATAATAATAAAGAGATAAAAGAAAGAGAAAGAGATAAAGGAGAGAGAAATGATGAGAAAGGAGAGAGAGATTTAATTTAACTACCTGGACATGGCTTTGAACAAGTTTGGCTTTCTTGAGAATTGCCAGCACAGTTTGCTCCGCCATATTTAGGTTGGGGATTATTACAACTGCGGTGAC